AACCTGCCAGCTCTGGTGTATATGGCTGGCGCCTTAGCCACTTGAGCTACAGGTGCTGAGCCTAAGAGATGGGGTTTCATTCTTGCTCAGGCTCGTCTGGGACTCCTGACCTCAAGTAATCCTCCTGCCTTAGCCTTCCAGAATGCTAGGATTATAGGCATGAGTCACCACACTTAGTCTTCTTCTTATTTTTAATTGATGCATAATTGGACATATTTATGGGATGCAATGTAATATTGCTACATGTATACAATGTATAATGATCAAATCAAGGTAATTAGGGTACCCATTACCTCATACTATTCAGTCTATAATTATGAAGCATCTTCCAGGTACTTTCTAGGTATTGGGAATACAGCTTTGAATGAATGTTGCTTACAATATAGAGCAGGGGACAGCAAACTTTTTCTGTAAAGGGCTAGATAGTGAACATTTTAGCCTTTCTAAGCAATTATATCTCCATTGTAGCTACTCACAGGGTGTATAAATGCAGCCATAAACATTTTGTAAATGAATGAGCATGGTTGTGGGTTTTGTTTTTTTTTTTCTGAAACACAGTCTTACTTTATCACCCTCAGAGTGCTGTGGCGTCACAGCTCACAGCAACCTCCAACTCCTGGGCTTACGCCATTTTCTTGCCTCAGCCTCCAGAGTAGCCAGGACTACAGGCGCCTGTCACAATACTTGGCTATTTTTTTGTTGCAGTTTGGCTGGAGCCAGGTTTGAACCTGCCACTCTCGGTATATCAGGTCGGCTCCCTACCCCCTGAGCCAGGTGCTGCCCTGCAAGAAAACTTAATTATAAACATAAGCAGCTGACCCCATTTGCCCCACAATTTGCCAACCGCTGTTAAACTACCCTGGCAGCTGTGTCCAGGATAGCCACGTAAAGTGAACCTCTTATTTTATTTTATTTATTTATTTTTGAGACAGAGTCTCACTGTGTCACCCTGGGTAGACTGCTGTGGCATCATGGCTCATAGCAACCTCAAACTCTTGGGCTCAATTGATTCTCTTGCCTCAGCCTCCCAAGTAGCTGGGACTATAGGTGCTTGCCACAACTCCTGGCTATTTTGTTTATTTTAGTTGTCGTTGCAGGTGTGGGTGGAGTTTGGACCTGCCAGCCCCAGTGTATGTAGCCAGCGCCCTAACCACTTAGCTACAAGTGCCGAGCCAACACGCGCTTATTTTTAGAGAAAAGGCCTCACTCTAGCTCAGGCTGGTCTTGAACCAGTGAACTCAGGTAATCCACCTGCCTTGGCCTCCCAGTGCTGGAATTACAGGCGTGGTGAGCCACTGCACCTGGCCTAAGTGAACCTCTTATATCATTTAAATTTTTGTGGCAGCCACATTTTAAAAAAAAAAGGCACAGAAAGCAACAGGTAAGACTGATTCCAATAATATATTGTATTTAACCTGGGATATCTAAAACTATCATGTTGAAATGTTATTTCAGCACATGGCACTAGCCGTATTTCAGGTGTTCAGTAGCCATATGTGACTCATGTCTACTGCATATAACAATACATAAGAAAGTTGTAATAGTGGCTCGGCGCCTATGGCTCAACCGGCTAGGGCGCCAGCCACGTGCACC